TCTTATTAAAGTTGAACAAATGCCCTTGTTTCTTTTATTCAAGTTCCATTTATCTCATTGAAGCTAAAACGTTTAGAAAACTCTGGTTTAGATGTTCTTATTTTTGAATCAGCAGCAATACTACATTTTTACTTCGTGTCCTCATTTATTTAAGATAGAAGCTATTAAGATATGTTATTAATAGGAATACGTATATTGATTAAAGAGTTAACACACAGAACCACACACAAAAGGTGCAATGAATTAAAAAACAGACCGAAAACTTGAGCGCATTCGAATAGTTGACTATTCTTCTTCAGGAAAATAAAGGGTGATGGTTAGTGAGTGCAATGTAATATATATGTACGTAAGCCGGATGTTCCAGATGAGTTAGTTGACTATTCTTCTTCAGGAAAATAAAGGGTGATGGTTAGTGAGTGCAATGTAATATATAGGTACGTAAGCCGGATGTTCCAGATGAGTTAGCTATGAAGCCTAGCCAATCATAACTGGAGACGTTACTGTCAGTTTTAGTTTGTACAAAAAAAAGTGTACATTACATTAATCACGTAAGAGTGATAATGGTTAAAAAGATGCTAAAATAGTTGCCATAGGATATAAAATATAATAAAAACAAAAGGGGATGGGAATTAGAGAAAATGATAATGAAAACATATGTATAGGAAACAATACCAAAAAATGGAGAAATGGAAACATGAATAAAAACATGGTTAATACTAATAGTAAAAATTAATTTAATTATAAATTTGGTTTTGTAATTCTTTTAGAGGCGTACGAAGGTCAACAATCCGGGGTTCGAGACTGATGACATTCGGCGTCACAGTACTTAACCGTGCTATCCAGTAAGCTTCTTTAATTTCCCTCTTTCTGTTTGATATAAAAGTTTTCTGTATACATCTAAATTTCATGTCTTCAAGAAAGTGGTCAGGCATGTTAAAGTGTTTTGCAACTAGAAGTTCTTTGTTCATTTTGATCGACGATTTTTGGTTATTAAACCGTTTCCATACAGTCGTTCTGGTTTGACCTATATACTGGGAGTTACTGATATGTACATATATATATATTTCTATTATTGTCACCCGGTGGGACAGCGGTAAGTTTACTGACTTAGAGTGCTGAAATTCGGGACTATTTTTAGTGCGTCCTCATTATTCTAGCTTTTATAATATTTTATTGAAATACTTTAATTTTAGAACATTAGAAATACTATTCATTAACATTATTTTTTTTTACAAAGTTAACCAAATACGTTTCAAAATTTTTCCTCGCCGCAGTCGCTATATCTATAATTTTATTTGAAATTAATCCAGTTTGAAAGAAAGTTGTCCTTTGTTTTCTAAGGTTTCAACGAAATGGTGTAGCCACGCTCTGTTATCACATTTTGAAATATATTGCTATTTAAAATAAGTTGGCAAGAGAAAAACATTCATATGATATAAAAATGAAACGATTTATATAATTAGAAAGAAATAACATACAATGTACTTACGTATTTTTATAACAAGATAAACAAGTTTTCTTTGTGTGTTATCAAGCAAAAAGAAGTAAAATGGCGGTTTATATGCCCCTCATGGTGATTCAACCATAAAATTTAGCGTTATAATATCTTAACTTAACATTTTTTTTTATCTGAATAAATAAATGTTGGAAACGAAATGAAAATACTAAGAATTAGAATCAAATTTTAAAAATTGAACGCTGTTGCAAAAAAATATAACAAAGTTAAATTACACGGTAAAAAGTTCTCAATTTAGAAAAAATTAACGAATCATTTACAAAATATTTTCTAATTTGTTTTTTTTTCTTGTACTGTTGACTATGTTGACAGTCGTTGATCGTTTATCAAAAAAGAACATAGGTTTTAATTTTGGGGATAAATAGCCTTAAAGTTTTTCTTGGCAGAATCAAAAGTGTCTTTTGCCAAAAATAATCTTTCCAATGTTGGTATCATCATAAGGATCTAAAGAGCTAGCTATCATCATATTGATAGCAATACTATCTAGACACACATTATGTATTCAGCATTAACTTTTAATTATTGTTCAGCCACGAAATTAACACATTAAAAAATTAATTTAGAATTTAAAAAGTGGTATAATTTAAGATCAACCCAGATTGCGCCATATCTTGTCATTGTGCAATAAATGGTTAAAAGCATATTGCTTATTAAAATTGGGCATAATACCCTGATCTAATTTTCTTTTGACAATTGGTTGTACTTAACAAATCTCATAAAACAATATCTTCTTTTGTTGTTTTTTTACTTTTTTATTGTTAATTTTTGTGTAACTATTATGTGGTAGAAATGTTTTTAAAACTCAATCATCGTAATAGTTTAGCTGATTTTGTTATTATTCAATAAAGAGATAAATATTTTAGTAGCGTAACATAATTTTCCTGGTATCACTGTAAAACTTAGTACAATTAATCATGTTGTGAAATGCCTATTATTGTTCACAATCTCGCCCAGATGTTTCATTGCATTCCTATGTCATATTTCTACTCGGAAGCTATTAAACTGTTATATTTCTTGAAAGAGGAAAGAATATTATGAGCAATATCGCATATTTGAATATTTTGGACGAGTGAATCCACATACACATATATTTCAGTTGTATCTATTAAAATGCTCATTTACACAACTACATAGCATTTGCATCATGTAAAACTTATTTCTGCATGAAAGCATTTCTGCATTTTAAGTATTACTGCGGTAAGTACAAAAATCTTTCATCTAGTATAATGCTGTTCGCTTTTGTTAGGTTTCCAGGCTTTGTTGCAAATAACAAGTAGATCTATTTGTCTACATTTTTACCTTAATGTATTTGCACTAAAGCTTCGTTTATATACATATATATAATTAGAAAATATTCTAGTTTTCGAAAAGATCGTAAGGTGGCTGTACATTTTATACCAAATGAATATATAAATATAGTCATAAAAATGTAACACTCGATTTCTAGGAAACTAGGACTTACATAGTATTATTGTGGTTTTATTAATTATAATATTTTATGATTTATAGAAAACATTTTTGTTATGAGAACCTATCATGTTTTAGCATCGTATTTTAAGGTCCTCTGAAGGTTTCACTTTTAAGGGAAGTACAGAAATCTTATTGATCTTCTTGTTCTTAATGGGTTTGCATGCGAACGCCAAACCCAAATATAAGAAACTTGCTTAACCCTTAGAAAATATTCAAGTGTGATAAGGACGTGTTAAAATTAAGTTTTTAACAGCATTAGTTAAAGTTAATAATGAAAAATTGTTGTTTTCAGAGTGTGATGGTAGTTTCTTCAGGGGTGAAGTTGTTTGTTTATTATTGAGCTCCAAGCTATACAATGGGTCATTTGTGTTATACTCACCACGAGTTTATTAGTAATATAATACTCTGTTTATTAGTAATATAAATCCGAAGTGCAGCAAAAACTGACGATAGAAACGAACACGATAAAGCTCCACAGATATGTTTCTAAATATGAATGCATATAAATTAATAATGAAGTAGGAGTCTTGAGAAGCCTTAGGGTACTAATCAACTACACTGTAGTATGAGCTTTTAGTACGAATGGATTGCAGAAATCCTAGAACTGTTGGGTAAGGGAAAGCTATTACACTTCGATATGATAATTATATAGATTTATGAATAAGTAGGAGTCTAAGTCAAATAATATCGGATCATAAAGGAACACAATAAAATATGTGAGATATAATTATAGATAGAAGAAAAAAGAAATTTTAATGGAAAGTAGAGATCATTGGGTATTCGTAGAATTGCTGTAAGAAGTATCCAAAACAGAATAAATGCTGCAGTAAAAAGTACATAAACAAGTAAAGTGATACTAGTTGGATAGATTGTAAAATGATTTTTAATCCCTACATTGGTTGGCAAACTTAGACTGCTTCATCTAGCTATACAATATTACAATATGTTTATATGTCCATGGAATGGACACAACATACATAAACTTTCAGTATAGCCATATCCCCATATCCCTGATAGCTATAAGTTTTACAAGAATTAAAACACAATCACAAATTTATAAAATTTAATCTTTACTTTAGCCTACAGATATATAAGGCTGCCAAAGAAGGGAATAAATTTTATAAATTTGTGACTGTGGTTGTAATTCTTGTTTCATTACTTTTTGTAGCAGAATCCCTACTTCATTTCAAAATTCATAGCTTTTTAATACCCTTGTTTGTTTACCTTTTATGTTATACCTGTATAAAGTGTATACTTTACCTGTAGAAACTGTCACGTGTTTATCCATTGCTATGTAGCACCATCCGTTGGGTTAAAAAGATATTTAAGTACGTGCATGATATGTTTACCATTTATGTTATACCTGTATATATATATGTGGATTTTTATCGGAATATCAAAATCGGATACTCACAGATCAGTCAAGGAAGCTGGAGAAATCTTGTAACGATAGTCCGAATTGTCTGGGCGCTAGCCTCGCTGACGTGATCAGGTATTTAGGTAGTAGACAAAACATTTGGCCCTCCAGTGGCACAGCGGTATGTCTGCGGACTTACAACGCTAGAAACCGGGTTTCGATACCCGTGGTGGGCAGAGCACAGATAGCCCTTGTGTAGCTTTGTGCATAATTAAAAACAAACAAACAAACAAACAAAACATTTGATGCTTTACAAATATTTGAAATATTAGCGGCCTTTTAAGCGTATTAATACTATATATGCGTATAAAATATCGTAACCAATACTTTCAATGGTCGGTTTTTTACTTAGGGATTCAATACAGTGGCTTTTCGGTTAGTGAATTATTTGAAATCCTTGTCGATCCGCACTATTAAATACTACCGTACTTAAAATAAATGACAAAAATGAAAATAGTTTAAAATTGAAATATTGAGAACAGTGAGAGAGAGAGAGAAAGAGAAAAAAAAAGATCGGAATTTTAAGGAGAATTACTCTAAATAAGTAAAATTACGTAACATTTTCATAGTTTGTAAAAAAAAGAAACCAACCATATATTCTCCCTGTTATTGATGCTTTTTAATAATCTTTGTGGAAGGGTTTACATCATTACACCATTCATATGAAGGCAGAATTATATCAATGGAATACAAAGGCACAATTTAATACATTTTACACTTACAAAATACCACATTTCGTATTATGAACTTAAACATAACACAGCTTTAATATCTACTTTGCCTAATGTCTAAAACAAACGGGCTAACTGTAACTTTACCAAAATATATAAATTTTTGAATATTAGTAAAGAAAAACGGCACATATAGAATTTAATTTCTAAGCTTTTTACAAAAAACCTTAAGTAATTAAACTATTTTCTAATAAAAAGAAAACCAGCAATAAAAAACGTGGATTTCGCTATTGTAGTTTTTAATATTGTTTTGATGTTTTTTATCCAAAATAGAAATAATATGCAGCTCTTGAATCCAAAAGAAGATTTTGGATACGTAAATTTTGAAATATAATTTGTTTTATGAATTTTTATTACAAATAGCTTCATTTAGTTTCAGATTTATTGATGACAATACTGAACAATACTGGCATAACGAAGAAACATTTGATTATTATAAACATGATTCAGATATACATATCATTTTTAACATAATTACGTATTCACCTTCAAAACTAGAGATGACCAACCTGAAGCAAGTTATAAGTGAAAGAGTATAATGATTAATTTCAGCGTCATTATAATTATACAGATTTACAAATAAAAATACAAGGAAGGAGTTACTACTGTGCTACATAAATAATTCCACAGTATTTAGAAGTTTTACACACAATGAAAAGTCCACGATTTATGTAAGGAAGTTACTAATACTGTTGAAATTAACATAACAATTTAACAAAACATAAAAAAGAAAACGTGTCGCTAGCAGCACGTTGCTTAGTTTTGCCTTTATTTCATTCGTGATATCGTTCATTAAATTATATTAAAAACTCACTAAATTGGTTTAAACTACACAGAGAAAAACAATACAGTAAATAGGCTAACTGAAATAAAAATACCTGCACAAGAACAACAATAGATCTTAAGCATAAGACGTCTTCCTCTAATATTCACTATTTTGAAATAGCAACAACCCGTATTGAATAGCTAACGTACACAATAAAGATCTTAAATAAGCAAAACTAATTACAGCCGTCGAGGTGAAGTTTTGCAAAAAGATTTTATAAAAAAATAAAAATAAAACAACGTGAGTGATATTTTACTGAGTCCATTACTTTCTGAGACATTCGTGTGAATTGCTACGTTTAGCAACATAGAAATCTAAAAACAAAAATCGAAAAGGCGAACTTCTTGAGATAGAATGTTAAAGTAAGAATGAATACATGGTTCGTCTTTTATAGATGAGTCAGCACTCTTAGAATTATTGAAGTTCTTCAAGATGTTGAAGTCATTCTTCACGACGAATAACTTTGATAAGGAAGATTCTGTAAGGAAATGTGAGAATTATCACACGCATGCACGTAGGCAACAGGGTAGCCTTTTATGTAGTTTATGTCAAATAAGGGTTTCTAAGCAAAACATCGAGACATACAGATCTTCAGCAGTGACTCACAGAGAACGAACAGTTATTCTGTCAAACAGGCGTGGACACCGTTGGTTTGTCTCGTTCCATTCGCATCCACTGAAAACAAACACAAAACTCTTCTTTTTATGAAGCATATTTAACGCATAACGTCAGAAACATACAAAGAAAGGTTATTTTACAAAATGTAGAAGGGTATAGAAAAACTAAGTATAACAAGTAAACAAACTCAATTAAAACTCAAAAGCGAACGTTATGAAGAGGAGAGCTATTACAACGATTTCACAGATAGATATAAAAATTTTGAGATGGATGTGTGGTATTTAAGCGTCCAAATTATTTCAGTTTTACTTCTGTTCTCAATGCAACCTATTTACATTCCAAGAGATCCAATTTTCATTTCTATCATCCTAAGGATATGAAACCACTTTAACACTTCAAAAACATATTTCTCTTTACACTTAGTTTAATAATTGAATCTATTCCTGTCGCAGACGACACTAAAAGTTGTGATTTGTAGTATCCATAAGCATACGCTAGATTTGGATTAAATAATTTACAATATTTGCATTGCATTTAGAAATGGAAAGGCAACTGGCTTGTATGATTTCCTAAGCAGAAGGAACCACAGATTCTTAAGAATTTCGAATTTAATTGCATTATATTTTCTCAAAGTATTTTGGTTTCATTTTAATTCTAAATACTGCTAGAACGAGAGAGAGGTTGAACTTAATGACATTACTGTTACTGGTTTATAGACCAGTTAATACTTTTGTCGTTATAGTTGTTTGCTTTAATTTTTTATCAGTGAAGTCATGAAAAAAGTTATGGATCCAAGCTATTTCGCTTTTCATACTTTTAGAAACTTGTATTTCGAAGTATAAGACAACAAAACTGTAATGCAAAAGAAGAACTGAATACACGAATACTTTGATTTATGTATAAATAACTTGTACGAGCGTTTGCCTTTATTACATTTCCATGTCATCTCATGTGATATTATAAATATTTTTTCATAAATTGTGATATCATAAGAAAGAATTTTATTTAAACAATTTTTGCGTTGTTTCTCAACACCTGAAATGAATACGCGCCTGATTATGGTTCTATTTGGATCACAAAATTCATATCATCACCTACTGCTCATAAAACTCCTAAAGACAACAAACTAACATAAAGTAAATGAACAAAATATAAAAATAATTTATTGATCGCTATTGATAGAGTAATATACTCTCTTCATATAGTTCTTATTTTTTACCTACCTTAACATTACTATTTAATTTAGGATTCACATACTTCTACTGATATTCTTCAGAAAACTAAGTTTTCTAACAGTTGAACTTTCTAATGATAGTTTTTTTACAGAACCATTAATTTTCCCTTTGTATTTTGTAAATGTCTGTAGAATATTTGCAAGTTTCAAATTAATATCCTGCTAAAAATCATATCTTATGCAGCTGACAGCATAGCTTCTAACTGTAATCCAATGTGTATAGTCTTCAATTTTCGTAAAAGGTGTAAATGTGTAATTTAGAATGCAATTTATTTCAGCATGGATTTATATCTGAATAAGTTGGTACTTTATTTGCAAATGCCTTTGATCTGTAGATAAATTTAGATAATAGCTAATAAAACGTGGGAATGTAACTAAAATGAAGAATTGTGATAAAATGCGGTATTTTTAAAGTTGTTGTTCATTATAAGGTAAAGACAGTAGCTGAACTAGGAGCTATGCTAATATATAAATATCATCATTTAGAATTTCTACAAGAAAAATAAAAACAGCATTAATTAAATAGTTAACAACCATCTAGTTTGATGTTTTGGAAAGTTTGCAACGGAACATTGTGAATTCCATCAGATACTTAATCATTTCATGATTGAAATATATTTTCATTCCATAAGCGTAACTTACCTTTAATCTAACTTGACAATGTAATAATATGCTTTCTTATTATTGGAGACAAGTGATTTGTCATAACATGATGTATATTATCTTTTTTTTTTAGTAAATGTTTATCAACAGCTAGATAAGATAATATGTTTTCATACACGTATACAACTGTTACACATAAGTCATTTGTGTCTTTCAGATGGAACGTTTGTCGTAAATTGACACAATTTAATTATCTCCTATGAAGTTGGTTATTGAATTCAACACACATTATTCTTATTCGTGCAATGCTTAAAGGAAAGGACTAATTATCTTGGCTATTTTATAGTTCATCTTGTACACCTGCTAACTCTAAATTCCATTGGGTATTTAAATGCAAATTTCATCAAAACAAAAGAACACAATCAGACACCGCATAGAACTACTTCATTAGGTTTATCACCTTTTTATCGTCTTTCCTGTTGTTCATTAATGGAGTTTCCACTGAAAAGCCTTCTTCCTCTTCCTCAGTTTCGTTACCGGGAGGTGATGTTAGTTTCCTAGACTTCTGGAAGTCTATTGCAGCATATTCTGTCGGTGGGTCCTCAGATGTTCTTACCATGTTAGTCTTATTTTCTGGTAATGTCAGCTCGGCGTACATAAGTTCCTCGTCATTCTGTTATGGTTATATATATATATGTTTATATATGTTAATATTTAGAGGAACACTACTACAGCACAACACTGGAGCAGTTCCTTACCTAGAATCGTATTTCTGAAAAAAAAATCATCTACTCAACAAGGCCAAAAACCCAAAACATAGCACATAAAGAAAGACAAAACTAGGGCCATAACTACTAAAATGGACCTCAGTTAGAGAGTTATCCGGAGAAATAAGATGTACACAACATTGGGAGTGTACCATCTATCATATGTAATCTGTATTTGTGAGCCTCGGATATGACATAAAATTAGAGCAAAAAATTATCCTTGCTAAGAGAGGTTAGTTTGAAATGTTGTGTCTCTAACGCTGTGTTGTTAAAAAAAGTGCCTCATTTACTGGTGGGGGAAGGGGAGATTTTCTCAGTTTGTACCACTCATGTTCTTTGTGTGCGATCTTCTTTGTTGTCTGGAATTACACATACATACACGTATATATAAAACAAATTAGAGGTAGTAATTAGTTCGTTAATTATGCAAATATACCACGGAATACAATTTGTTTCACACAAAATGTATCAACTAAGCAAGATCTGATTATAATGTTAATTTCCAATTATTGGAGCGAGGTTAGAAAAGTTTCAAACTCTTTATCCAATGACATTTAGCTTATCAGCTTAGAAAACGAAAAAAAGTGGTCGCATTTACCTTTGGCTTATACATTTCTTATTTTAGTTCAACTTCTTGCTAAACTTGTGCCGGAATTAAAGACCACAACTTGAAATGTTTTACTATACATTTCAAACTAAAGGACACTGATATTTTCTTACTGATTGAAAAGCATCTTAGCTTTTGGCTAGAAGAAACGAATAACAAATGTATTGAAAAAACGAAACATTAGATAAGAATTTTATTAAGTCTCTTAATTCTGAAATAACTGCAAATCAATGAATAACTAAGATAATTATTAGCAATTTCTAGAATACTGAGTAACTTCTTGCAGTGAAGAATGAGTAGTGAATTGTTACGGCCCAATAGACAGTTTCATAGTTTCTTAGAAGTCTTTATGAGTCAAAGGAAACTTTCGATTTGACAATACAAATTAGGGAGATCTTCATGTGCTTGAGTATACATTAATATTATTAAAATAGGTAAATACTGTTTCCATGGAAACTTTTATGGAACTTTAATCTACAATATATATATATATACCACAAAAGCACAACCTTAAATATTGGAAATTCGCTTTAGTATTATCTATTTAAACAAGCGTGATAAAACTGAAAAATAACTGTGGATTTCAAAGGATTTGGTGAAAGTATCACACATATAAAAAACTTGTGAAAAAAGTGGAAGCGTTAACTATAAAACACTTAAAAGAATGTGTCCCTTGAAATAAAAAATATACTTTTTAATTAATCCTACAACAAATGAGTTATTCTTAATACCAATTTTTCCAAAGCGAGCGTAAAATAAAGTTAATATAATTCTATATTAAATTTAGTACCAGTGTAAAAAGAAATAATAAATCTCAAGGCAAGTAATCAAAGTAATGCTTGTTTTAACTATTGTAATTACTTTCAATGATTTAAGATATAACTATGCCATTAATCACTTACAATATTACATATGTTAATATAAAACACGCTTGAATGATTAAAATACTTCAGTAAAAAAATTAACTATGAATGAGCTAATTTAACTCACACACTTAGGTATTGATTTAAAACGACATTGTGTTTTTACAACATCCTATTTTGGTCGTCAGCAAGGAAACATTATTCGTTGTAGTATTTTTCCTTTGGACATACTTATTGTACATTGTTTGGTCAATAATTTCTTATCCATCCAAATAAACATTTTTAGGGCATTCAGATTGATTTAAAACGACATTGTGTTTTTACAACATCCTATTTTGGTCGTCAGCAAGGAAACATTATTCATTGTAGTATTTTTCCTTTGGACATACTTATTGTACATTGATTGGTCAATAATTTCTTATCCACCCAAATAAACATTTTTAGGGCATTCCGATTATTTGTTTGTACAAAGTAGACTGATTATTTGATTTGTCATATGATTTTTTGTCTCCTGTAAAGATACAGATATAGTGATATCATGTCTAAAGTAAGGGAATCGATAATAAAGACTGTTCAAAAAATATATGTCGTCGAAGGTTATTAAAAATGTGAATCGAAAGAGGATATATCTGCCTCTTGTCGACTCTTCTTCAATGACCAGAGAAAAGAATGATTGAACAGGCCTGTAAAGTAAAACAGACACCATACTGTGCCCTTGTTGAATGATTATTTTAACAGCAGTCTATTAAGTTTAATTGTGCCGTGCGAAAAAAAAAACACAAAAAAAAACAGTCATATGGCTACTGCTAACCATCTCAAAAGCTGTTTATATCAGATGCAGCAGGAATAAATGTCTTCAGTTAATCTTAGAGCACAAATTGTGGACAATGAATAAGTTAAAACGTGTTTATTTGGTCTGATGAACTTTTTTTTTCTATACTGGCGGAATATTTAAAGTATTAATGAAGCCACGCAAGGTACTTGACCATGAGAGTGTCTTTCCTATCGTGAATTTTATTGGAGGTAGCGTAATGGTACTGGAGCCGTTCTCTTATCTTTTGACTTTTTTTAGAAACGCGAATAATGCTCAGAGTGTACTTTAATGTTATTTCAGTTCATGTTCATCGCTACGTGCTGTATTTCCAAACTGATGATTACGGGCTTTTTCAATACAATAGTGCAACAATCTATCAAGCTCGTACTATTTCAATTGACTTTCTTGGACCGCACAATTAAACGGACCTCAGTTCAATAGAACATCCTTGAAAGGAGCTTCAACGTAGCATTTGACATCGCAAGACTCAGACAACATATTTGAACCAATTTAAGGCCAAACTACTCAAGAGATAGGATAGAACTGAACAGAATATAATTCAGCATCTATGTACACAGAGACTAGTTTGTTTGTTTGTTTTGAATTTCGCGCAAAGCTCCACGAGGGTTATCTGCGCTAGCCGTCCCTAATTTAGCAGTGTAAGACTAGAGGGAAGGCAGCTAGTCATCACCACCCACCG